GACTTATTTTAATTGTACAAATCGTTAATGCAGGATGATACGTAATTATATATTAATAGTTAAGATGAATCTAGAATCTAAATAAAAAAAAATGTGAATTTTATCGCAGCGTACTTTATAGTAAAAAGCGAGTGTCTTGAGCATATATTTAATTTTTTTTATAATTCGATAGATATAAAACTTAAACAACTTATTATATTATTTTACTTCCAAAAGGCATTTTGAAGCAACAATCAAAATATTTATATTCATGTAAATTCATCTCTTTATCCAAAGTCTTATAAAAAAATTAAACAAGAGTTGTATTATGTGATGCTTTGTCTTCTTTTTCAAGTGTTGTTAAAAAATGAGATGATTAATAGTAGACTGTAAAAATAACGAGATGATAAATAAATCGATAAATGTATTTAATGTAAATGTAAAAAATATGTTGAAATAACGTACGTCATTGGTTACGTAATAATCGGGAAAGTTTCTATTAAGATCTACATTCATCGCATTCGCTCTGCCTTTTGTCCCGTAAACGTCGCCTTCTTTGGAGATCTCATATCCATCAGGATTCATACTCGGTAGCACGTGAAGCCTGATGGTCTCTACTATCCGTGTAACTCTCACGTCGGTGCCGTAGTTTTCACAGAGATATCTTAGCAGTAGCAGCAGCATTTCCCTGCCAACTACCTCGTTCCCATGCATATTGCCGACGTACTTGACCTCCGGTTTGTCAGGATTGTGAACACCGGGATCCTTCGTGACCTCCATAACATACAGCTCGCGACCTTGCACGGAAGATCCTATGCTGTACAGCCTTGTAATATTGGGATAATTCGCGCTCAAATCCTTTAGGTATTTCTCCATTGCGATGTAATTGTGATGCTTGAACACCACGGTATGGTAAAAGCCATATTTGTCGATGGATCTTATCGTTTCGTCAACTGTACTTTCTCCTGCATCGTACGAATATACAATTATTATTGTTGTCAAAATCAAACGTAGAGTTTTCAGTGAAACAATCATTGTTTAGGACAAAATACGTTGGTGTATAATCGCACAGATTTAAAATTACAAATAACGCAAAACAAGAGATGAGTATGTCATAAAACACAAGGTACAGAGAAAACGAAAAGGATGAGATAAATAATAAGATGTGTTCAAAAATAATATGCGTGATCTCTCGACACTTAAGAGGAAAAGGATAAGTATTGAGTAAGATATTCATTGCTCAAGACGAAAACAATGTTTTTATTTCTAGTTTTGTTAATACATACTTGTAAGGAAAATATTAGAACATACATTGTTATACAGATTATATGATATATCGGTCACTGACGTGCCTTCTCACACAAAGATCTACATTTATCAGTACAGTTCCTAATATAATAGAAAGGGTATTGGCAGTACTATGTATCTCGTATGGTAAAACACAGTACATCTGTTTCTTTTTTCTTTCACATTTTGTATATTTGCTTTGTACGAAAGAAGACAAAACGTTTCATGTTGTCATGCATATTTACTCTCTTCCAAACATCATTTACAAAATTCCAGCCAAAATTTTTTCAGCTAATCTTGTCGAAAACAAAAAGTCGAATGAATAAGTAGATATTGTCAGGAAAAATTAAAATATTTGAAAAAAGCTTCATTTACATTTGTATATATATCAATATACTTTTTTTTATATACATACATTTTATATACATATATATATCTATTATATGTATGTATATATATATATATATATATAATATAGGCAACATATTTTTTCGATATTTGTTCTGCAATTTGTCTCTAATAATATTAACAATAACAAATAATTGCTTATTAATAACTGTTTAACGCTTTGCCTGTTTTCCATTGAAGAAAAATATACAGCAGTTCATTATTCTTGTACTCGTAAGTACATGTGTATAAAGAAAATATAAACTATATTAAATATAACGGTTTTTATATCTATGTAAAAATTACAGTCTGATTCAAAATATAAAGTTTATATCCATAATCTCTGCAAAGTTGTTCGATATGTTCAATCAGTTAATTTGTCCATTCACGTATTGATATTGTAATATACTACTTTCCAATTTGCAAACAGGGCATTATTTGTCTTTGTTAGAATATATATAATTTCATATTGTTTATATTAAATTTAAATGCGATCACGGAATGTTTGTTCACATATAACATATGTTATAATGAAATAAGTTTGCATATAATGATAATATAAATATAAAAAATATATGATAGAATAAATACATGCCTTCTGTCACAAACTGGAATATAGTTAAAATATTTTCCTTATTTATTCAGGTATAAACTATGACAAAAATATATTCAAAATCCTTATTCCTTTTCTCTGCTATAAGCAATTCATTTCTCCATACCTTGTGTCTATATATGTATATATATAACTCTGTTTATATCTATTTTCTTGTACTTAATAATAATCTAATAAAATAATTAAGAATACACGATGTCAAAATATGTCAGGAAACAAATAAGAGATTCGGCAGTCACAAATTATTAAAGATGCGTACATCCGAATTTTGCAACATTAATTCGCTAAAACAAAATAAAAATCTTACTAAAACAAATCAAATAATAAAAACTCTAATATTATTTAAAAAATAATAAATATTTTTTTTATAAGATACTTAAAATAATTTGCTAATAAAGGAACTATAATGTCACAATACGAAAAAAAATGTATAAACACAAATGTTAAAACACAAATTAATGAATTGTGTAGTTAGTAATAGCTTGTGCTATTTTAGACAAAAACATAGATGTTAGATAAACAACATAGCCATGACAGTTGTTAGGTAATTTAAGTGTTTAAAAATTAGTAGTCCTGGTCATTGTAATCATCTAGTATCAGCTTATAGAATTCAGACAATCTATTATTGAAGATTGGTATTATTTGTGGATAATTTACGTCATTTTTACCTTGTTCATGTACTTCTTTGCCGCTCAATGTAAAGTTAAGAATCGTCGGTGAACTTTCTAATACAGTTACACTTACTGGTTTGCTGGGTTCGTATCTGAATAGAAAACAATATACAATAGTAACAGATATACTAAAAATAGTCTCCAGCTGGTATGACATATTGAATGTTAACGTTTAAGAATCATGCGATTACATACCCCCACGCAACACAATAAACTGAATAAGTTCCTGGTAGCAGTAAACGCCAATATTCGCCGTTGACCGTGGTTGTTACATTATGGTTTATTCCTTCTACAACAACGTTTGCTCTTTCAATTGGTCTACCATCCTTACTGAATACAAAACCTGCAAATGAAAGATAAATATAAAATTTCTTTCTAAAATCTAACATAAAAACGACTATGATATTAATGTAGGAATGTTACCCTTTACTCCAATATGCACTTGCTCCAAATATTTAATCAGAGATTCTTTATTTAACAGCCATTGCTCCGGTATGGTTAAACCTGGTGGATATTTACAGCAACTCAATTCAAACGTTATGTCAAATGCATTGGATCGGGCATAATTATAGTCTTGCATTCCACCAACTACTTCGTACCTGTCGACAAATTCAAAAATTTCTAAAGTTTCATCAATAATAAGCTAACCATTTTGTAAAAATTATTTTAAAAATTGATCTCTCTTTATCTGATTAATATTTCCAACCATTCAGCCCAAATGTTACTTTAAAAATGGCATAATGTTTATTCTTACCAGTATGCTCCATTTGTAACGCCACCTCGGAATATTTCTGGTGGACAAGCGTCACCTCTACGCATTAGTGAATGATTGTCCGCATAAACATGAGCAAGATGCTTGAATAAATTATCGTCTGGGCTTTTACTCTCTATACAGCATGATCTTGAGATACTAAAAAAACACATCTTGTCAGATGACAAACAGAACTTTCAATGTAAGGAGAATTTAACAATATATAACATCTATCATGATGACAATTGTATAATATACCCAGAATCATATGGATAGCTGGCAACTACAGCACCACCATGAAGATTCCCAGAGAGCACAAAAGGCTCACTGGCGATCCAAGTCATCATAGCCACAGTTTCACTCTGACGACCATTGAGAATAGAACTACCCTTACTGCGATGGTTACTTTTTCCCTCAAACTGATCGGGGAAATCCCGATTTAAGTCAACATGATTGGCATTTTCTCTGCCAGAGAAATCATCGTTGGACTCGCATTTACTTTCCTGAAACACAAGAATATCTCAAATTCATAATCTCGGTGCCATTACAGCACAAGTGAGAATCTTACCACTGATTTTTCAAAACCATCCGGATTCATAGAGGGCATCAAGTAGATGTCCGTCTGATTTACCAGCCGGGTGATGCGATCGTCCTTGCCATAGCGGTCCAGGAGATACTGGCCGAGAATGATAAGCAACTGTCTACCCACAACTTCGTCACCGTGCATGTTGGCGACGTACTTGACCATAGGCTCACCGGGGCTGCGCTGCCCGACATTCTCTGAGATCTCCAGGACGAGAAGGTCCCGACCTTCCACTGATTTTCCGATGGACAGCACCCGCGCCAGGTTCGGATATCGGTTCACCAGAGAATCGAACAATTGCCGCAAATCCTCGTAATGTGTATAAGACGTGGTGACGTAGTTGCCGTCCCGTGGCTGCTCGGCGACGTTCAACGCATAGCCGTTCGCTAGAGCAATCACGGCGCAGACGAGCGCGAGGATAATGACACCGCGGCGTAGGCCTTCCATTTGTGAGGCCTATTTTCTTTACCTCGCGTGCGCTTTCGGATGAATTCTCGCTACCTCGTGCACACCCGGCTGTACTACCTCGAGGAAGACTGTCAAAGTGTCAAAGGTTCATATCACGGATTTTCCCTTATCCTTCCGCATTTATACACAGTGCTGACGTCCGCACGTCAGATGAGTGGGCGAAGTCTCGATGAGGAAGGGGACGACGGAGAGCAACGTCACCATTCGCCAAACGAGCGTCCTTCTCTCTTATTTCTCGTTGGTGCATGCGCGATAAACGGAATCAGTGGCAATATACTGCAATAAACGCGTTATCGCATTTGTAAAGTTATCATTTCTCTCGGCTTATCTCTGTTTATTTCGACTAAGATTGAACGTATATAGCCTTTACGATATTCCGGAGCACGTTATGAATTCGTGGTACTCGCGAAAAGACCGCGATCGTGTGACGTGACTCGTACGAACTTGCACGGACACGGACTAGGTTAGAAGATTAGGTTAGATTTCATTGTGATTCAAGAACGATAACTGGCAATGGCTAATAAACAGTGAGTAATAAGGCGTTTCTTGTATCGCATCAAGATTTTAATACCATCGACTACTTTCAACTGACTTTTCTCGATGTTGAAGGTACGGTCTGATCTTGCCGAAGAAGCAACAGCAGAGTACGGCACCAAGACTCGGCAACGTTTTTGGGGACGACAATGCCTCCGATGAGGAGGATGGAACCGACTGGGTCAGGAAAGCCCTCAAGGCGGAAGGCGAGAAGAACCGGATGAAAAAACAAACAAAGCTCGACATACAGAAGGCTCTGGATGAAGACCCAACGATCTATCAGTATGACGAGGTGTATGATGATCTGGAGCGCAGCAAGAGCCAGTTGGATGACGCAAGCAAACAGAAGGAGAAAAAGTCCAAGTACATACAGAAGCTCCTGAAAACAGCTGAACGAAGAAAAAAGGAGCAAGAGCATAGGATAGAGAGAATGGTGCAGAAGGAACGCGAAGCCGAGGGTGAGATGTATGCGGACAAAGAGAGTTTTGTCACATCAGCGTACAGAGCGAAGCTGGAGGAATTTAAGAAGATGGAGGCAGAGGAGGCCAAAATGGATAGATTGGAAGCTATCGGTGATGTGACAAAGCAGCAAGACATGTCAGGATTTTACCGTCATCTGTATGAACAGACTGTTGACTACAAGGGTGAGACTAATAAAGATGAAAGTAGTAAAGTGAAAGAAAGTGCTGAGCAGAGGGAAGGGAAAACGTCAACAAGCAGCACAAATGAAGAAAACGCAACGACGAATGAGAGAGCAAATGAAACAGAGGAAAAACAGAAATCAATTACAAAAACTAAAAAATTGAGGCAGTACCGGCAGAGAGCCATAGAAACATACGAATCTGATTCTGAAACAGAGACGAGTAAAAAGGAGTTGAAAAAAGATAAAACTGTTGTTTCACCAGTGGACAAAGAGGCCGATAGAGTAGAGGTGCAAGAACCAGAAGAAAAGAAACAAAGATTAGATAAAAAGGACGTGAACACGGTTGATAATATCACAAACATTAAGGATAAAGATGAAAATGTGAAAGACGCTGAAATACCTCAAAATAACAATGTTACTACAGAAAGCGAAGAAATTGAAAATAAAGAAAAGACTGTTGAAAAGAAAGATAGATCTTCCATCTGGGAAAAGAGAACAGTAGGTCCAGTATTTGAAGCAGCATTACAAAGGTATTATGCAAGGAAGGCAAAGAGACTGGTTGAAGCAAATTAGATGTAATTAATTTAGAACTATGTTAATTTTTTATATAACGTCTCTGTTTCTCACTCTTGTATTACGTAATACGTAAATATTGACCTTATTCTAATGACGAATTGTACAAAAAAAGGTGTGATCTCCGATTGTAAAAATGTGTACAAAATTAAAGATAAAACTTATTTTATGACATTAGAAAACTACAAATATATTTAAAAATACACACACCATAATCCAAAAATGCTTAATGATTTTTATAATTTAAATAGACATTACAGCTGAGCTCTAGAAGGAAAATATATACACTCAGATGCACGAGATAATACTTTCTTAAATACCATTTAGTCGTTGTATATCCATTTCTTCGTATACTTATTACTTGAAAATATTATTTTTAGGAAATTCAGCTTCTCTTTCGCATATTTGTACAATTGTATACTTCCATCCAATGTGAAAGCCATGTGAAAAGCAAATTATCTCTGTGATACAAAGATGATATGAGATCGATTTGTACATCTTGTGGAATGCAGTCTCGATGTACACATATCGATGTACACTTTCTTATCAATGATATATTATTCATAAATATGTCATGTTATATAAAAAGCCGTGCATTTTTAACTAGATGTTACATTTTGTGGTAACATATGTCCTGTATCCCCTAGACAATAGAGGGTAACTCTACCACTGGGAAGAATACAGAGCCAAGTAATACTTCCATGTTTCAAGCATATCCGTAACCATGCTTCTGGTGGAAACTGTAATGCCCTTAAAAGAAAATCGAAAAATATATACATACAATAGAGAGAGAATATTATTAAATTTAATCATTATCTCTGTAAAAGAGAAAATCTTACCGACAAACAAAATATCTTATTACGTTTGCGTGGCACACAAGAACGGTGTAAGAATCGCGATCTTGACTAGGTTCCGCGCGATGAAAATATTTTCTAAATGCTGCCTCTATTCTGGGCCCATCTTGGAAGAACTGGAATATAAATCAAATAGAGATATAGAATTATTATGCATTGCACGAGAATTCTTAAATTTCTTAAAATTTTCTTTTAAAATCTTATTTTTTCAATATATTCAATAATACAAATAATTAATTATATTTCACTCACATGTCTCTCAGATTTCCACTGACCAATAGGCGGCTCCGGAGGTATAGGTGCACCTTCGACTAACAAGCTGTCGGTTTCAACTGGCACATTTATAAGATTCTTTTCTATAATTTGAGAAGTTTCCAGAGCACGTGTCATTGTGGACCTTATTATCAATGAGTAAGGCAAGTTTAATTCCGCTAGTCTCTTTCCCGTTGCTTCAGCCTGCTTCCTGCCTTTATGGCAACAAAGTAAATAGTTTTATAAAATAGTTTTACAAAAAATATATATACTTCTATGTTTTATAAAATAGTTTTACAAATAACGTATATATTTATATGATATAAATATTTACATGAAATAAGCAGGAAATTATGGAAACGTGAAAAAAAAGAAATTAAACAAAAAGCCCAGTTGCCCACAATAATTTGCGTCATAAACTGTAAACCCGTTTAGAGAAATAATAGCAAGCATTAAAAGAATATCGATGTCACACTTTCAGAAATATCGTTAGTTTCAATAGAGCATAACATGTTAATTATCAACGTACATATGTGATGAAAGAACATGCTGTATCACGAATTATTACATACTTTTCGCAAGATAACTTATTAACCATCTTCCAATGCGATGTCATGGAAGATGTAAGTAGATAGAAAGCGTATTATCCTAGTAGCAACACCAATGGAATGCTATAGTAGAAGAATTCGTATAACATTCTCTTCGGAAATTGTGTGGTTTGCTGGTTATGGTGACAAATTATTGTGAACTTCCAGGAACTTTAACCCGAGACCTAAATGCAAATACAAAACTCCATCAGTACGAAATAAATGCGATCCATTAAGTAAGCAACACTAAATATTAGGAAAGAAACTTGACGTGCTTCGGATTATGTAAAGAGGAAGATCTCAGAGGATGTTGATTTAAAAAAAATCAACATAAAAACAACGAATGGGACAACCATATACTACTTTAATGCTAGATGCAGAAAGTAATCCTACCAAGTTCAGTCAGCACTCTCTCAATGTCCGTCTTTCCATCCGTGTGATATTGCCCATGGCGAATCAAGAGTATGTGCCGTACAGCCTTTGCTCTCTTCGCCTCGAATTTTTCGTTGTACTTGTTCTCATCGTTCTCATCGTTCACCTTCATCGGCTTTACCAAGCTCTGTGGATCTCGTCTATAAACATCACAACAATTATTAATTTTTCTTTTTATTATTCTTGAGACGAAATGAGTTTGCTTAATCAATAATTAACCTTTTACATTCTAGGTATTTTTTTAAATGGTCGCCCGGCAACTCCAGGTCTTTTGTGGAGAAAAATGAAAAATGTTACTTTACAAGATAAAAAATCTGTAAATGTTTGTAAGATAAATTATATTAAAATTTTCAATAACATATCTTGTATATTTTAACAAATAAACATTATTTTAATCCTGGAAATTCTTTTCTGTATGATACTTTAAGAAGCATTTTCCTATATGCATGTTGTCTGAGAAGTGTTCTGTTTCTTTTTTACAGTTTTATATAAAATATATTAATTTATATTTTATAACACACATCTCCATACTCTAAAAGAAAGTTTTTTCTCCACCATTTGAAAGATTTTCTCATAAAAAAATGGTTGGTTCAGTAAATTCAGTTCAAGTAAATTACTAGAATTGTACAACACAGAACGCATAATTTCTTGTGATTTACTAAAATACAAGTAGTCAAGCAAAAAAACATACATCGTGTGTCCCCACTAGTTTTTCTTCATTTATTTTTTACAATTTTAATCAGCAATCGTGACACAGTGGCCCTGTCAGGCTAGAGATTATAGATTTGTTCGCGTCGCATGCTCCTGTTATAGCTTTTACTCACTTCAACGAGCACGTTAGAGTGAGTAAATGTTATAGTAGGAGCATTTTAGAGCATGTCAGAGTATATGCGACGCAACAAACCTTATCTCTTCACTAGTCACGTGGGGATCAAACTGACCCAGATACATAAATAAACTAATGTTTCTTAGTTGCATTTTCGTTTGCGACTATAGCGTTTTTAATATCTTCTCTCCACAGTTTATTCTTGCATCTATATAGCGAAGTAGCACTGATAACGTTCAAGAATTTTACTAATAAATAGCAGTTTTTGTATTCTTTGGATCACTTTGATTTCCAACACGTGTACGTAACTTTATGTGACTTAATTCAGCGTATTGTTTTAACATTTTACTTGTATATATTATGTTATTTTTATGAAATAATTTTCACAATAACAAGATATTAATTTCTAAATATGGCCGAATAAGCAGGTAAAATAAGACAACTTTAAAATATTTTTCAATATTCTTTACGAAATATCTTAAAGATGATATTAAAGAACTCTTAAAGATACCTCAAAGTTATTTTATTTGTGGATTTTAGACATTCTACACATTATAACTAAAAAAAATTATCAAAATTGTAAAATGGTACAGAACTTTCGACTCAGTTTAGTCCTCTCTACCTGCCCATCTGCTCATGAGCGTTATTGGGAAAGATACTAGATATCCAGTATAATTATAGAAAATTTTTACATATATTAATATTTTACATAATATTTGAATTTTCTTTGCTTAATTTTTTAAACATAAATATATATTTAGTTTTGAAATAATATCTATAATATTATGAATAATATTATGAATAATTTCCAGTTTAAAAAGCAAATAGAAACATTCGTTAATATTTTGTTATTTTCTAATAATGAAAATATTTCGCGATATTCTCATTAATTCTTGTAAGAGTTATTGTAAAAAATAAATGTGCAAATAAACAAATAATACGGTCGGTTACTAAAAGGTTGCAATAATTTTTTTTCGGAATGCAGCTTGCTCCACAAACGATTGGTTCTTATTCATGTATCCACAAATAAAAACCAATCGCTCGATGAGTAGCCTACATTCTGAAACCCATCGAAAAAAAAGTATTGCAACCTTTTAGTAACTGACTGTACATAAGAAAATGATGTGATTATATTATGTTATTATTGAAATTATTGCTAGCTTTAAACAATTATATCATTTAAATAATACTCATGTATATTTTGTGCATTTATAAGTACAATAATAATTAAAATGTATTCGGGGTTGAGTAAGTTAACTTTTTTTTTAGCTAAGTTAAGTTAAAGTTAACAACTTTGAAAATTTAACTTAGTTAAGATACAAGTTAATTTATAATGAAATTAATTAATTGAATTAAAAGTTAAGTTAATAAAAAAAAGTAATTGAAAAGTTAAAAGTTAAATTTGCTTTTTTAATTTTTTTAATTCATGACTCTAGGATTTCAGTCTTACAAATAACGGCAATGACAAATATATACTTCATTTAGAAAATACTTCATATTTTATTTACATGTGTTGTTTATATATACTCTTTAGTATATAAGATTCGATTATGAGTACTGACCTGTGATATATCTAAACCTTCAGACAGAATACGAGGAAGTAGCGATAGTAATAAGGAATGATAGATTTCAACCTATCAGAAGCTAGATACATCGAAATACACGGTTTCTGACAGATTGAAATCTGGGGGTCGATTGTGTAATTTGAAATGAGGTGAAAATTATAAAAGTGAGCAAATTCATTAGAATATTTATAATTACATTGGTAAATCAACATCTAGTAAATTTGCTCACTTTTGCATTTTAAGATATCGCTATTGCCGCATGTTATGTCTGAGACTTAACTTCAAAGAATTAAATAAAAAATTAATAGTTGCAAATATAAAATGTAAGTTAAGTTAAAATTAATCAACTTTTTAACGTTTAACTTAACTTTTATCTTTTTAATTTAGCACTACCCACACACAATCCTGGGATTTATATTATAAATATCGCAATAGTGCCGTCTACGGAGTGTAAAGGGTTGATTAAGTAATATCTAATTAATAATTAATAAAGTAAGTAATATCTAATAATTATTTCGTTAACAATTATTAATCCTTAGTACACACAATTGCGTCATTTGTGTTCTGCATATTACTTTTCTTTGAAAAACTAGGATCAAATAATTACTCTGGCAAACATTTTTCTCAAAATTTTTCATATTTAAAATTTAAAACGTTGTCGAGAAGTATACGACACTGCCACTAGAGGGACACAGCGAGTTAAATTTCTCAAGTTTAAAAATCATTCAGAGAGAGAGAGAGAGAGAGAGAGAGAGAGAGAGGGAGAATAAAACATAACATTAAAAGATTCTCTAATTGTGTTTGAATGAAATATTTTTTTGAAATGAGCTTTAAGGACAAGATGAAAGCAGTGTTTTTTTTTTAGAAAAATATTCAGAATTTTTCAAATTATTTTCTTAGTATTTTTGAAAAGTGTTCCAATTCGTACGAAAAAATCTAAGAAATTTTTTTAAAGTTATATTTGTATAGAAATTCTAAAATCATACCTATAACAATTCTGAAAAAAATCTGAAGTGTCCCAATTCGTACAAAAAAATCTGAGAAATTTTTGAAAAAAATTATAAAAATTATAGACTCTGAAAAATTATTTGAGAAAGTCTGAGAAAAATTTTCGTCAGGAGAATTGTAACACCTACATATAGTTTTTTTTAATATATAATTTTACAAATATATTTTTTAAAGATGTCAAAGTAAATGTAAAAATCACATAATATAATTTTTGTATATTTGTTAAAGTAATGAAAATTAGTCTGTGATACGAATGACCCATCGTGTGTAGTAAAGGATCAGAAAATTATCGTGTCTATTAAAAAAGGATTAAAATTAAATACAATTTCATATTATGTATGAAATTATTAATATTTTACTTAATTAATAATAGTAAAAAAAAAAACATTGTTTAGCGAAGGTGAATTTTCATTTGCAACAATTTTTTGTCGATTGAGTTAACAGAGTTAATTTTTCCCCAAAGTCTCATACGAAACAGAGGAAATCAAATAGATAGCGGGAATATAAATCACCTGTCCCAGTTGTGATCCCACTTCACTGAAGGCGTATAATTCGTCGTCCACGAGTTGTGAACGCGCAACGGTTCCGTTTTGCCGTGAGCATTATAATAATAGAGTATCGCGCCGCTCACTGCACCGAGTCCAAGAGCCCATTTGTGCAACTGTGAGACAGTCGGCATTTCGCGTACACACGAAGGGTGAACCGAGAACTTTGAAAAAAAAACACCGGACCGGAGAAAGTACGTGACCCTCGTCAACTCGCAAGTTCCAACTCTTGCTCAAGCGGCGACCTAACCTAACCCCAATCTTCCGCTACAACCAGTTCGCCACTTCCGGGGTACTAGAGTGGGGTATAAAGAGAGTGGCGCCAATTACGCATGTGCTTAAAGCCAAAGGCATAGAGAATGTACTGTGCGATCCGTTTTTAATAGCGTATTCGATTACTGACTCGACCCGACTCTGAATCAACAGTCTGTTCTTTTTAGCTGCATTTCTTACACAATTTAGCTCTTCTTTTGCAGTTAAACAGAACAGATTATTGACCCGGAGTCGGGTCGAGTCGGTAAATCGAATACGCTATAAGTAGTGTATCAAATGTGGTTGACAATAATGAGAAAGAGGTCCGTGGGAGACGGTCAATCCCCCTCTCATTCTCTCTCCCATTACACCATTGAATGGAAAGAGATAGAAATGGCCGTCTGCCACGGTCCCTCTCTCTCATCTCTATCGACCATTTTGACACGGATCGCGCAGTCCATTCTCTACGTCTTTGCTTAAAGCTTAAAGGTGCTATATTATTTATATGTATGGTAATCAAAACATAGAGAATGGATTGCGCGATCCGTATCTAAATAATGTATCAAATGCGGTCGACAAAATGAGAGAGAGGAACCGTGGGAGACGGCCAATCCCCCTCTCATTCTCTCTCCCATTACACCATTGAATGGAAAGAGATAGAAATGGCCGTTTGCCACGGTCCCTCTCTCTCATCCCTATCGACCATTTTGACACGGATCGCGCAGTTCATTCTCTATGTCTTTGATGGTAATACTCAAGGATTGTGTCAAGGAAATCGATTCTGTATCTTGAAAAACGAGATGAAAATTACAAAAGTGAGCGAATTATATATAACTCGAATACTAATAATTTCATTGGTCAGCACCTAGTAAATTTGCTCACTTTTGTCATTTTCACCTCGTTTGAAGATACATTATCGACCCCCTGCTCGCCGATTTTGATGAAATTGGCTTATTCGACGCGGTTTTACATGAAACGAAAACATCTGGCAAAAAAAGTGTCGCTCTGCCCTGTAAGCCGAGATATTTTCCTAATTTCATCAAAATCGGCAAGCTGGATATCGATTATGTATCTTTTTCCTTCCCCTACAGCACAAAAGTTGCAACAACAATGCTGCAACATTGCAACAATATTGCACGTTGCAGCAATATTGCAGCGTTATTGCAGCAATATTGCAAATTCTGTGCTGTATGGGTTACGGCGAAAACGTAAAAAGTTAAAATTTGTTGTATGTGTGTACATGTACATGAACACATACATAAAATTTTGCATTTTTTACGTTTTCGTTCTAGAGAAAAAATTACTTGATCGATACCCAGGACTAGGGTTGGGCATCAGGGTTGAGCAATTTAGAGCTGCGAATAGTTTCTTACGTATAATACATATTTATAATACGTATAATCATATAAAACGTATAAAACGTACGTATAATACGTATAACATATGGTATTATACATCATTGAGCATGTATTAAACATAACGTATTATACATGGTTTTTATACCGTATAATACCGTATAATATGTTATACGTATTATATGTACGTTTTATACGTTTTATACGTTTTATATATATTATACATATTATACATACGTATTATACGTATAAGGAACAATTCGCAGCTCTAAATTACCCAACCCTGTCCAGGACTATTCTTGTTGCGTATTACCGTGTACTTTTATCGACAAATGTGTACAGAACAGAGAGATCCTCGGATCTCTTTATCCCACAGCCAATCAACTGGCTTGAAAAATTTATCGTACGACAAAAACGCACAAATAAAATATTACCTTATTGCTGATTGGCTCCGTCATTAGGTCCTTAGAGAGAAATCAATAGCCCGTATTTACAGTCGATTTTTATTTTAAGTAATGTCTTAAGTCGCTAATGCGGCCCTCTGATTGGTTTTTGTCATCTTAAAACTGTACTTAAGACGGTCTTAAATATAAGATCTGACCATGAATATCGGCCAAGGTCAAAGAAAGAAGAGGATAAGACGAGGAACTGCGTCGTAGGTATAGGATACGAAATGGCGACTTCCGACTTATCGGCGTCATTCTCTACACCCACTCCTACAGGGCACAGGACGAGGCATGAGCGTCCCGGGCGTCCTTGTATTTATTGGGCGAGTTCAAGTCAGCAAAGTGGCTAGGTGCGCTTATTGAGCGAGTGAATATGATTGGTTGGATCTAGAAGTAATGCGGAGTCTATAATAGAAGTCGTAGCATTTGGTAGGGTATCAAGTCGTAGAGAATTGACCAATCGTAGTCGATTATTCTTCTCATATTCGACTGTGATTGGTTAATTTTCTACGACTTAAGACTTACGACTGCTATGACTTCTATTGTAGACCCCGCATTAAACAACCAATTATATTCGTTTGCTCAGGAAGCAGGCTGAGCTGGCTGAGCCAGGGTTGAGGGTAGTCGCTTTGTCAACTTGAACGCGCCCATTATTCATTGCTTCCTGTTGCTCTCTGACGGGCTGACGTCGATTTGATCTGTCTAGTCGGTTCGGCTGGTTTCGTGTTCGTCGCGTTGCTAGTATTGGTTTCGACTTTAGGCAACTTCAAATACGTGTTCGAAAGGATCGAAATTGAGCAAGTAGAAACCTTGCTGGACGAGTCGTGCCAAAAAATTTATTCTTCGATAAAGCCTTGTGTTCTTCCTGTTGCGCATCATTGCACATTGATTTGCAATCGTCGCTTGTCCAGCTATATTTGCTCGCACGTTGTGCAAGACAGATATATTCAAATATAAATAGTTTCGCAATATTCTGAGAGGACAAACTGTAGCGAGATGTTGACTCCACGTTTCGGGATCACGCAAACCGACGAGGATGTGACGATAGTTATCCATGCGCCATATGCGAATATAAAGGATGCGGAGATGCACGCTGACGGAGTAGACTTCCTATTTTACTCCACTCCGTATTTTCTCAAGTGAGTATTTGCGAATTTGTTGGGTGGAATCGCCTTCTCGACGAATATATGAATATATTTGTCCTTAATACACGATAATTTTCCAGTCCTATATGATAGGTCATTTGTGTCCTGAGTCTTAAGTTAATTTACATTATTTAACAGATATATAAAAATTATTTCTTACATATACTTTAAAAAATTTTTAGAAAGTATTTGTAAGATTATATTTTTAAAAATGATATATAAATGTTATATAACATTTGTGTATAAATGTTTATAATTGATTATTATTTCATGCTTCTAATTTTTCGAAAAAACGAATGTACAGGACACAAATGGTCCAATGATGTACACTAAGAGTTAAATTAAAACGATTTTTGCAGATTACAACTTCCAGGTAAGATAAAAGACAATGATTCATTCTCTGGGACCTACAACTGCGAAAAGGGTGACTTTACCTTAAGTTTCTCCAAGGTAAATAAGGGAGAACACTTTAAGAATTTGGAAATGATAACAAGTCTTCTGGCACCAAAAAAGAAAAGAACTGTCATACCTAACATTGAAGTCATCGGTAAGTTATAAGGATATAATTTAAAAGTGTTATATACATATACAATTATATTGCATAGCATTATTATATATATATTGCATAGCATACAATGTCTCTTCCCAATTTTAGGTAATCCATCTGTGGCTTTAGCCGATATGAGTGAAAACGATGTAGATAATTCTGGAAATAATTCTTTTCCACCTCAGGATAATTCTGTAGGAGGTGCGACAAATCTTATAAACTCTCCAAAATATGGTTTTGCTAATAAAATATCAGGAGCTTTAGCTGCCTTTGGGGTACGTTTTTATAATCCATTTTAACATTATTAAATTTTACTGTAAGTGCATTACAATTAATGTTACAAAAAGCCTTCCATATTTAGTTTTGATAGTCAAATTAATTATATCAGTAATATTATGTGTTTGTTCCTTTTAGGACGTATGGATCAAAGAAATAATAGATCTTCCTGCTCCTGATGTAACTCCTGAAGTAGAAAGAAAAAGTTTGCGGGAACAGCGTGAATTAAAAGATTTCTCCGAGGAACATTATATGGCAGATCTCATGGAATCAGACGTCATTAAGCCATGCTTAATATACCAAGCAGAATGGGACACTTTACAAACAGATCAAATTGCATTTAGCAAAGCTGAAATCGACTTGTTAAAGGAACTTCCAAACAAAGAATATTTATTAAATGTTAACGAGTTAGAAAAATTATGTTTTAATCTTGTCGATATCTTGTACGCCAGTTGTTATAATCATCGAACAACATTCGGAGAAAATAATTCAGAGAGTGGCTGGACCATTAATAAACTAAGTTCTACATTATGTTGGTTTCAGGTACGTTTATAAATTAGCTAACGAAGCGTTTTCTACCAGGAGAGTACAAATGAATTAATTTCTATCAAATATTTTCAGAATTTTACTTCTCCAAATGAAGTTACAACAGCGTGTATTCGAAGAGCGCTTTGCTATCCACTTCACAGAAATTGGGAACTTTCTATTAAAGTATTGGAAGATGTTAAAAAAGTTCTATCATTAGGTCAGTATAAATTGGGACGCCAAAATGTCTTTATATTTGCCATTTATTATTTCAATTTTAATACTTTCATGCATAGGAAGGAAATATGTTATTAAACGCTTCTGTGAAATACACAGTCTTTTCAATGATTCATTTGAACCGAGATACATACTGAACCAATTGTATATAAAGGATTTTCTAATTTGGTTGCAAACGTTAACTGATCCCGTAATAGAATCGATTCATGCTGTATTACTTAATGTAAGTACTTTTCAAAATTCTTTAAACATTTACATATTTAACGCTTCTCTTACCTTATCTATTTAAATATAGGTTTCCATAGAATGAGTTACCTCATTCACCTAGTACTTACAATCTTCATTTTTTAAAATTAATTCTTTATAAATACGTCACATATATGAGACGAATATTGAAATTAAATTTGAGATTCACCGGTTATATATCGATTGACTTATACGGCCGCAATGCTTATATCAATTTACTATTTCATACAGATTCATCCAAACAAAGATAGTATGGGACTAGAATTAGTGGAACTGGAAATAGCAGCTTATTCTGTCCAAGAAGATTTTGTTATAGAAAACGCCATTCACAAAATGACCAACAATATTGAAGCATTGTCTATGAACGTGGACAAACAGAAAATGTGAGTAGAAAACTACTATTTTATTACTTTCTTCTATAGTAATATTTTACATATTCTATATAATTTTGTTTTGAAGGCCAAAGAATGTATACCATGTTAACCAAAAATTTTTTAAGTGTTTGTAAGTATTTTCATATTCTAGCTTGATTGTTAACAGTCGCTGTTTAACACACCTGTATTTAATGAACATTTGTATTATTGTTTCTATATATTTTAACTTATTTAGTTTAATGTAACATTATAATGCCTAACTTCTTTTATTATATATTGTATAAAAAATAACTACTTTGTGTACATATATAATGTATAACTACTGTTTGGATTTTTGAAAACAAACTTTCATTATATCAAAATCTAATTCAAATTTTAAATGTTGCAAAACTAAAAATTTACCAAAGTTCTCGTATTAAGTAATTGGTCAAGAATTTTTAGATCCAAATAGTATTTGACCCTGAGTACTCGAGTTCTCAGATACCTGAATAATAACAATCCTAGGAATGAGAGTTTTAATAATCTAATAATGTGCATGATTGAAGAATTTTATAATACTGATTACTCCAAACTTTGGAGTCCAAAGCATTTTCTACTTCTTCTTAATCATTGTATACAAATGCAGATTATCGAGCAGTTCAAGTTCAACGGATAGCAGCGATACGGACTCTGATAGCAACACGTCAAGCAGCAGTAGTAGCAGCAGCAGTTTCGATTCTGATGATATAGATGGCGAGCCTAAATAATCAAGAAGAAACGGGTGGACTTGGAAAAAGGTGCTTTTATTGTTGATTTTATTATTGATTGGTATACTTCTGTACTTTGATTTGCCGATTACAGCTATGGTCATGAAAATTACTGACAAGGTCATTTTGACGCTCATTTGCCGCGCAATCTGGATAGGCGTCCCCGTGTTTTGGAGCACACGATTTCAACGCGTAATCAGTCCCTCCGCAACTTCCTTTCTGCTTAAGAGCGCTCAAATTCGACGCGAACCTTTCCTCTTGCTTAACAGCTCACAAAATTCACGCAAAGAGTCCACCCCATCTCCCTCCCTGCGTAGGAGCGTACGACTTTCACGCAAAGCGACTCCCACCTCATCTACCCCTCTGCTTAGGGGTAAACGACTTCCACGCGAAGCGACTCCCACCACACCTCCCTCCCTGCTTAGGAGCGTACGACTTCCACGCGAAGCGACTCCTACTTCATCTACCCCCCTACTTAAGAGCACACGACTTCCACGCGAAGCAACTCCCACCACACCTCCTTCCCTGCTTAGGAGCGCACGACTTCCACGCGAAGCGACTCCCACTCCATCTACCCCTCTGCTTAGGGGCACACGATTTCTATACAAAGCTACTTCTACCTCATCTCCCTCCCAGCTTAGAGGTGCACGACTTCCATGTGAAGCGACTTCCACCTCACCTTTCCACTCTGGCGAGAGGCGCACGATTTCCCACGCGAAACGCGCGAAAAAAAGTGAAAAAAATCGTCTTTTGATTATTTGAAAATGACCTTGTCGATAGTTTTCATTATCATGTTCGTAATCAGGGTATAAAAATACAGTAATATGTCAATCGATAAGAAAATCGGAAGGTTCACCTTTCGGAAGTCTATCCGAAAAAACTGATAGTTCTAATGAATAATTATTCACTTGTTACATGACGTGCAGTAATGTGATGAATTAAACATCGGTTTCTTCATAACCGGCATAAATCATATAATTTTTCAACTAACTACTTAAAATATAGAGACATGAAATTATTTTTCGTATATATTATATATATATGTGTAAAATTAATTGAATTTTTGTATATGTGCATATATTATACTCTCGTATATATATATTCATTGTTTTATGTGTTTTTTGTGGTATATACGTGTGTGTACACCCAAGGACTTCGATTCTTTCCCTCGGAAATTTTCACAAACTGAGAAATATTTACTTTTTTACATTAATGCTCATAGTCTGTGCGCGATTAACGACATAATTAAATCTTACGTCTGCTTACAACTAAATTTGACATAAAGACAAAATAATTTTAATTTTTGGAAGTTCTAAAAAACCGAGGGAAAGAATCGAAGTCGTTGGATGTACAAAAGAATCATTATGATGTTTAAAAATAATCTTCCAAATATATGTATACTATACTGTGCTAACGAAACTGTTAATAAATGTGTATATGTATATTTAACATATATTTGAAAACTTAAGCTCTCAATATTGTATGACCTGTGATAAATGTAATGTGAATATGTTCTAATTAGTAAAATATATTTTTAAAAATCTTGAAATTTGTATTCAATCTATGATTAATTCGAAATGTTAAACATTTATTTTTCATATATCATTACAATTATAAACACTTACTTTTAAATAAAATTTAGTCAAATCTGTATTGTTAATAATAAAAATTTGTCATCTATTTAATTTTTAAATATATATATATATATATATATATATAAATAAGAAATTATAATATAAAACATGGTTTATTTATTTAATCTATAATCGATCCAAGATAAAAGTTTATTGTAATGTTCAATTAATTTGTATCGTATCTCCTCTTCCTTATCGACTTGCTCATTCTCATTAATTAGTCTGGAAGATTCAATCGTGCTTGATTCATCGATATTCTGTGGATCAGTGGAACTTCCAACATTGGGATTTTCTGTGACATTTGTAATTAAATAGCTCTCTTCCGACTTCGAAAGACTCGTCGCGTAATCGCTGACATCAGAACGATGTTCCTCATTGTAATTAGTCTAAAAATTAAATTTGTTTTAACGTTAAATACGAAATATCGAATTAAGTGTTAAATTATACTATTAAAATGTACTTTATATATACTGAATGCTGAATGTACACATTACATGCTGGTAATTACCGTAAAGTTGTAAATATCATTAAACGTTTCATTTCGGTCAGCGATGTCGTTATCATCGTAATCCTTCCAATAGTCCGCTACTTCGCCGTACAATCCTGGGCTTTCATCTTCATCGAATGTATACGTCTGATTAACATTTTCTTCATCTGCTTCCGTTGTTTGCCCATTGTATTCTTCGGAACTTGTTATGTGAGGATTGATACCCTTAAAATTCACGGGGAATTTTAATCTCAACTATCGAGGATCTAAGAATAATATAAAAAAAATAATAATAAACACAAATGAGTGAAGAGGGCTATGTTCGATCAAGACAGGTGTCTTGATACCTAATAATATTTTTGTGTAAAAAATAATAAATTCTTATATATAAACACAATAGAGAAATATCTCAAATAAAATATGAGAAATTAATTAAGACATACATAAGATAGAGCGTTATAATTTAACGGAAACGTTATAGGTTTTACTTCACATGTACCGGCGGTGATGCAACGTCAGTTCCTGAATTGGGGTGCTCATGAAAATCGGGATCGCCAACTTTTAGAATCATGTGCGTGTACTTTTTCGTCTTTTTGCCGTTTTTATGTATATGCGGCGCATACATAATTATGCGTAATGGTAAAAACACGTCCTCCCCAAAATGCTCAGCGTCTTCTGGTGTCGTGTTATCTGCAAAATAACAATTCGTTAGAATAATCCTTAATAAAAATAAAAATCAACGTAAATTGAATATAAGCTAAAAGTAATAGAAGTATACAAAATTTATAAAAAAAAGGCGAAAATTGAGACAGTGAAATGTAAAATTGCGTTTTAATCTTTATTATACGCTCCAATCTTTATTTTAATTTGTCAGAAATTTTAAGATAATTAACGTAATATTGTTGATTTTTAGTTGCTTTCCATTTATATTAAAACTCAGGTAATTCTCATTCATGATGTCGTAACTCATAACTTAGTTGAATGCATATTCCTATTTTCTTTCTGACAAGTGAGATTCAACTGAGTCTTTAAACTTATAATCTACACAAGCTTTGCAAGACTTTGATTTCCTGGATATAAACAATAAGAATTTATTGGACCTTTCTGTATTCCTGAACATATTTATATATCAAAAATATTTCATGAAAAATTTCGGAAATATCTCAAATCTTGCAATGAAATATTTTGGAAATATTTAATATTATATGGATAATAAATAGAAAATATACTCACATAACTTTACGCTCATTTTAGTATTATATCACTTGTGTGAAAATGGAAAACAACTATTATCATTCTACTGAACAGAAATTCTTTTCCCGCAAATTCGACAGTTTTGCGCTTCCATTACTACCTCGAATCTCGTTCGCGAAATTTGATGTTATCGTTTCTTGGTCTGCGAAAGTTGAATCACTTTCGGTTACTTCGGTCGCCGGTTCGTCAAGCAATAAAGTACTATCTGCAGTCGTGTCCTCATGATTTGCGGTGGTGAGCGAATTATTGTTCGTTGGTGGATGAGATTCCTTTTGCTCCGGATGAAGCACATCCGACTGCGATTCAAAGATCGCAGCAGTTCCGGTGAAGACGGTACTATCGCTCTCTGAATTCGTCGAATTCTCTCGACTAGGTGTACTTTCCGCGTTAAGATGATCCTCGTCAAATCTGGACTCGGTTGCGTCGCTATCATACTGATAAGTTGTGTATTCCGTTGGCGATTCCGTTGAGAAATTTGCACGATCGGAATTATTTGTGATTTTCTCTAAGAGAATAGAAGATGCGGTGCTCGTCTCGCGTTCCTCTTTTGATGATGATTCATGATGTAAATGTGTGACGTTCTCCAGAAGACTCTCGGTGGTATAAATTATTTCAAATTTAGTGTCGACCTCGAGGTACGCCGGATCCACTTCTTTCTCGGTGCTCTTTGTTAATTCCACGACATGGTCTTCGTGATTCGACGCTCGATAGACGGCTGGCTGAAATTATTCCAAGGTAATCACCCATGTTACGAGTAGTGATTACAGTAATGGTGTTTTCCATTTTGTGACACAAATCAAAGATCAACACAAATATTGTTCCGTTACTCATGGAATGCCAAGAAAGATAGAACATTTGTATCGACTTGTGTCACTAATGTCCAAATTCTTCACCTTTAGATAATTTTATCCAAGAGATATCTTCCAGAATACAATGGAGATATCTCCTGGATAAGATTATCCGCAACTTATCTGGAAGTGAAGAAATTGGGCATAAATGAAAAGCACTCAACATTTGATTATCACTGCTGAGTGAGATATAAACGTGTTGCATTTAAAGAAGAAGAAATGCACTCACATTACATCCGCCGCATGGGTCATCCATGTATGTGGATAATATAGCCGCTTTTACGTAAGGAAAGAACAGGATACTCCACGGCACTATAACGTGATATGTCATCTTTCCGCATCTAAAATCATAGTTTCTAACGATAATCTAGAGACACTGGTAGTGTCTCGGCGCTAAGCATGGCGCGAACACGGACGTGTTAATACTAACTCTATCTAAAGTAATCAACTGAAAATTAATTGTCTATTTAAATTATACCCACACAAAAAAAAAATCAATCAGTATTGTTTTATTTAAAAATAATTTTAATTCTCAACACTCTATTAACGAAACAATTAAATACATTATGTTCTTACAACGTTACAATATTGCTGCAGTATCCCTACATGGAGAGAATTTTCTTTTAAAATTTACCTTGAAAATATATATGGTAATTGTGGTACAATACAAAATTTGAAAGATTTTTACCATGCACTTCAATAAAATTAATTAAACTTATTTTATACTTTATTGTAGTTTTATTAATAAATGAGAGAGATTTACATTAAAATTCTTCGAAATACACACAATGTCGTCCCACGACTACCATATATATTTTCAGGATAAACTAAAAAAATTCTCTCCGTGTATAGGCACATAATATTATTTAATATTAAATAATATTTTAGGCATGTTTCCAGAATATTAAACGTAATATTTAAAGAATATTTTACTGAAATTATATAATATTAAATAATATTCCTAAAATATTAATGGATGGTTATTACTCCTGATAATATTACATGATTATTAAAAGTAACATTATTTAGTGCTATTGTAGCAGTGTATGAATATTAAAAAGTATCATAACAACATTTACTTTAATTTGTAAAACTGTCACACCGGTTCAGTTTAAATACATGTTTAAAGACTGAAAATAATTTTGGCGTGCAGTTGTACTGGATATGTAAAATCACACCGAAACGTATTTAAGCACAAGACGCAGCATAGACTAATAAGACATTTTTGTTACTAGATTGTGAATTGAAACTACATTAATGTAAAAATAATTAATATTAATAAATATTTTAATAATATATATATTTCAGAGATGTTAAAGGAAATACACCAAATATATTTATACAAATGGACATATAACATCCATAGAATACTCTCATAACGTTAGAAAATATTATACAATATTCTCAAAACATTATAACTCATTTTAATTTTTTAATAATATTTATATAACATTCTACGAATATTTCGTGCCTATAAGGATGCTATTAAATTTTTTTACGAGATTTCGCGCTCATTTCTTTCCGTGAATAAATTAAAAAAAAACGTACGAAACAAATCAATCGCTGCTAAGCAAATATAAATACAACGATATTAATAAAATCGTGAGCTTCTGAATCGCTCTTTCTCTCTTTTTCTCTCACCGATCGATGATGACCGCATGTTCCCTTGACGCTCGGAACCTCTCCCATATACGAGATTGCGGATCGTCCTGCAGAAAGATGATGTCCGTTCCGTTATTTTTGAGAAAATCATTATCCACAAAATTCTCCATTTCATACTTTGCCCCAATCTCCCGCCATGCCTCGATCTCGAGATCGTCCTCGCTCTTGTCGTCTTTTAAATCGGAGGACGGGCTTATCACGAAGAATCGTATGTCCGGGAAACCGGACTTCCGCAAACGCGAGCTCAGCAGCTCCAGCCTGTGGTTCGTTTAATTAAAAAAAAAAAAAACCCAATAAAAAGAGGAAAAAGGGGAAAAAAGTAGGGATTTCTCTTCGACGCGTTACGCGCGCGTTTCTCGCGCGCAGTCACGATCTTTACAACTTACATGACCGCCTGTCGGAAGCTGTACTGCCAGGCTGGGTCCAGGAAGGCCAGCACGCTTACATGGCCGAGATGCTCCTTCCACGCGTTGACGAAACGACATTGCTCGAAGTACCAATCCTGTTCCTCTCGGCCGAGCTCTCGGCGGTCCCTCGCGCGAGACGACGACCGATCGTCGCTCGATCGGAGTACGCGCGAGAGACGGGAATGATACCTCGCCTCTGACGCGAGACTCACGAGGAAGAGCACCGGGAATGCGACCTTCGCGGCTAACATGGCACACCACAATAATCACGACTTTAACGTACCATCGTACGGTTCCTCGAGACGGAGATCCCGAGAGACGGGAACACGGTGGTTCGGGATTCGGCTGGGCCGCGACCGAACCGAAAGTGATTCATCCGTACGCGATAAAGGAGAAATATTCGAATACTTTCATATCGCGTCTCCAAACGGGACGCGATAGTAACGCGATAATAAGTGTTTCGACGGGAAGGCGCGTAGATTACGTGCATTTACGTATGTAACGCGCACGCACGTGCAATGTGTGCATCGCGTGTGTATAGTATATATATCGGCGCGCGCGACAAGCCGAGAGATTGACCCGGAATTGACCCGGAATCGCATCGACGCGATACGCATATACTGGTCACGCGGAAACTGTTTTTTTTTATCCTCCACCGTGAAACATCCCTTTCCCATACTCTCCAAAACTTTTAGAGTGAATTTTCACTCTGAACAGTGAAATCTTACTCTTTTAAAGATTGGAAATTGATACGAGCTCTATTTTAAAAGATTAGTTTAATTTTCATTCTTTGGATTTCACTCCAAAAAATTTTAAAAGTACGAGCACGAAAAAATAAGATTTGTTAAAATAATTAAAAAGTTCACTAATTTAACAAATCTACAGCCGTAATATACGGATAATCAATTTTCTATATAAAAGTAGCAAAATTATGCAACTGAATAAAATTAGCGTTTATAGTAGATTATCATATTTGTTGTGATAGTTCGGCAAATTTATTAATAGCAAAGATAACTCTCTATGAAAGTCAATTTAACATATAGATCAAAATTTGTAACAAAAAAACATGTTACATTAACCATTTTCATCTGTAGCAAAGAATTAGTTGAATTAGCATAATAATTGCTTACAGATATGATTTCTCCGTTGAACTCGTTCAGTAATTAAACTATTGCTTTGCCGAACCACCCAATCCATTTTTTTCCGTAAAACAAACGCGTTAAAAAAATCCTTACATTTTTTCACATTAATCTAAAAAAAAGAGAAATAAAGAACGCGATGCGTCGCTCGAGATGTAGGGAGAACGCAAACGCGGAGCGATTTCGGAGTCGTCGCGGTCGTTTGATGGTCAGTACGAATTAACGTTAATAGAAATTGATGTCTGGATCTATTCGCGGCTTGGCGGCGAATACAATAGAATCGTGTTCGACGAGCCGAGAGGGCAGCCGCGTGGATCACTCACAGACACGTGCGCGCGTCAAGGAACTCGTCTGAACTCGACGGAACAGAGGTCCCCTTGTCTTTGCATCGTGCGTTATGTTCTTTTATAGCCGGTGATTCCGTTGCTCTCAGTTACGTTTTCGTCTCCATGCGAATCCGATCCGTCGTGCTTTCGCGATCTTGGATGCACCAGAGAACCGACTGGTCCCCGCGACGCGATCCTTTCCTTCGTGGCTGCTACGATGTACGCGAAAACAACGTCCGACCCTCAAAGCGATCGATAGAATCTCTCATTTTGTGCTTTCTTTTCTTCTCTTTGCTCAGTTAATCCTGGTGAAAATTTTTCTCAGAATTTTTATATGAATTGAAACATTTTTCAAGAATATTGAGAAAGTCTACATCTTTTCTTAAAGTTTTTGATATATTATAACTAAATTCTAAGATTTTTCATTCTATAATTTTTGGAATCTTATGAAATCTGCGAAAGTATAAAATATTTTTTCAGAAATTATATGTAAACTGAGAAATGTTAAAATATTTCAGAACTTACATTTATGGAGAATTATAAAAGAGATAGATATAAATTTTCTTGGCAGTTTTAAAAAATGCTCCAATTTGTATTAAAAAATCTAAGAAGTTTTCGAGAAAGTCTTACAAATTTTTTTTTTATTCTGAAAAATCCTGAAATTTATATAAAAATAAATTTTGAGAAAAATTTGTATTTGCAGGAAAAAATGGGAAGAAAACGCATTCTCTTGTGGTCCAGTTGCCTCTGAATGCGACCCGTAAATAGATTGCAATAATAAAACAAAAAGTCATCTTTAAATGTGAGATACCATTTAACGTTATTGGTGACTCGTAAAGCTTAACAATGGGATTTTCAAGAATTCTACCGCTGCTAATCGGAGCGCTTTCTCTATTTTCGAATTTTGCCGAGTGCGTCGACGACGACGATGGAGGTTCGATCAACAGCGTGGAGAACGGTACAAACGATAACAATGTCTCGTCAACTTTTCTGAATTTCGATCAAAAGACGAACGAGGATCAACGGAAGCACCTGGACGACGCCGACCGGATGCTGAGCAAGATGGACGTCCTGTCCCGCCTACTAAAGATGCACATAGATCAATTGCGAAATAAAACTGATCAGGTAGACGAAGACAATAGAGCAAGAACTCGATTGTGTATTTTGAATTACATTTTAAAACATAATATATATACCATATTATATCAAGTAAAATTTTCCTCGGGAGAAGAAGTTTTGGAATGCAGTCTTGCTATAAATATTCTAATAAATATTTTTTCACTTTTGTAAATTTTATTTCGTTCCGAGATACATAATCGATTCTCAAAGTTAATGTATTTATTCTCTGTTTTGCTCTTAAAGCTCAACGCAAGATTTAAGAAAAATAAAGAACGTCAAAAATCTAGGCTCTAATGCCTCTAGCCTTCCAATTATAATTCGAATGATTCGGTACCAGGTGGAAATGGTGTTCCTAGTGGATGCGTCCGGTTCGGTCGGAGCAGAGAATTTCCGCAGTGAACTGAACTTCGTGACGAAGCTCCTGTCGGATTTTACAGTGGACGCGTTGGCTGCACGGGTTGCCCTGGTCACCTTCGGTGGTCGGGGTAGCGTATATCGCAACATCGATCAGATCTCCAGACACGGACCCAACGATCACAAGTGTTACTTGCTGAACAAACAGTTCAGCAATATCACCTATAGTGGCGGGGGAACTTATACGCGTGGCGCGCTTCTCGAGGCACTAGTAAGGGCACAGTTTTCTATCAAGAACACATCCAGCAAACACAAAGTTACATGTAACGTACTAATATAACACACGTGTTATATTACAGTTATATCGTTGAGTGGGAAATTACAACTAACGGGTACGTTACATGTAACTTTGTGTTTGCTGGGCAGTGAATCATTTCATCTTTGTTGAACATTAACAAACAACAAGAATGTAATGACTTACTGTGTTGCACTGTGTCTTTGCTGGAAAACGCCCTAAGTACCATATAATAAATTCTAATGTTTGCCAACGTTGTATTTGTAACGAGATAATAATTTCTTACAGCAAAGTTGTGATGGTAAAAGCAAGTTCAACTAAAGCTTGATAAAATACGGTTTTGATAAATTACGGCTATTTCCGCTGTTTGCAAGGCGATCCTTGAGAAGAGTCGTGAAGCGGCGAGTAAAGTGGTGTTCCTGATAACCGATGGCTTCAGCAACGGTGGCGATCCGCGTCCCGCGGCTCACCTATTGAAAAACACGGGGGCGATTGTATTCACGTTTGGAATACGTACGGGAAATGTAGAGGAGCTGCACGATATCGCCAGTCATCCCGAATACACGCACAGCTACCTCCTCGATAGTTTCGCGGAGTTTGAGGCTTTGGCGCGACGTGCTCTGCATAGTGGTGCGTTTTTTCCCATCGAAAACTACGCATATACATTTAGAAAAAAGACATAGTGGTAGTGATTATCAAACTATACAATATATAGAATTAATGTATGTATATATATATATAGAGAGAGAGAGAGAGAGAGTTGAATAAGCTACTTTTACAATTTATATATTATTGCAACTATAAAATAGTTTAGTCAATTATATACATATATATATGTATATTAATTTTACACATAAAACTTGTATAGTTGTGGCGTTTATAGAGTTGCTATCACTATGTTTTTCTCTGAGTGCGTAGTATCCATATTTTATAAGTATTCTGAATGCGTAAATTGTTAAAATTATTAGGAATAGAGTTTAAGCAATCGATCATGTTAAAGCTGAGCATAAGAATTGCAAAGCATTACTTTGTACAAACATTATGAAGCCTTTACTGGGATAAAAGGAACTAGTTTTAAATAATGAATCGATACTTCTCGCAGACTTGAAGACTGGGCAGTACGTGGCCGTGACTTTGCCGACCGATTGCAACAGCCTCTGCTCGGACAGCATGAACCGGACTTGCTGTGACGAATTGGCGACCTGCACCTGTGGTACAGCGACTGGACATTACGCCTGCATTTGCCCGCCTGGCTATTTCGGTTCCGGTCTCAGAGGTTTTTGCCAATGTAGGTTGTAACAAGCGAACGAGTTTTGATTTATTGATATCTGACGCTTTATACAACGCAGATCTCTAAGGCTAATTCTACAATGTGCTTTTTGTTTCCTGTTTCTTGCTGTTTGTCTCTTGCCTTCTTGATCAAAAAGGCAAAAGACAAACAGAGATAAACAGCAAGAAACAAGAAACAAAAAGCACATTGTAGAATTAGCCTAAGGAACGTCCTAAAAATAGTCAAAGAATATTTTAAAAACATTCCTAGAACGTTCCTTGAATAAAATGGACAATTCACGGTTGTTATGTCTTTAATTTTTTTTTCTACATCATGTATTTGTTATTGAGGCAATATACATTTTATACTATATTCGAAAGTTCTCTCTTTGTGTGCCCACGACAGCTTGCCCGAACGGAACATATGCTTCCGCGAACACCTCTGGGGATTCCACCGCTGCATGCGTACCCTGTCCAGACGCGAATCACATCACCATCAAGGTTCCTGCGACCTCGGTGGTTGACTGTGTCTGCGCCTCCGGATTTATCACAGATGGTTACAAATGCGAGGGTAATTTGTTGCACGTGCATTCATAAACTTAGAATAATTGTATGATAATTTTAATTTAAAGGGCGCCATCCTCGCGCAATCATTGGTACAAATTATACAAATTATTCGCAAAATTATTCGCGAGATAGGATGGATATTATTTTCAGCTATAACATGCCCGAAACTGAGAATCCCCGACAACGGGTACCTGGTGAAGGCGAGCGCTTGCAGTAACGTAGTACACGCGGCGTGTGGTGTAAGATGTAGGATCGGTTTTCATCTTACGGGGGACAGCATCCGGCTTTGCGGCAAAGACGGCGCTTGGTCCGGCAACGAGCCGCAGTGCTTGCGTAAGTAAAGAACTGCCTGTAGATTACAAGCTGACGTTATTGTCGTAATTTTGTCATTAAAAACGTCAAAATAACATAACGTAAGTTTGCTACTAGCGCCTAGCAAACACTAA